TTAAGTACATCTTTACAATTATAATTTTAATGTAAGCATATTTAAGAAGAGTAGGTATCATAAATTCTATCGAAGATTAGATCACCTTAGCAATTTTAACCAAATTTGCTTTCATCAGAACTTACGCATAGTGTTCATAATGTGGCTACGCTTGGATCTAATAATTACCGTGGGCTTGCGGGTTGAAGTAATAGAATTAAAATAGAAGATTCTCTCTATACAGTACAACACATCCAAAAATGAAGTACATTAGTTACAAGAGCTTCAATGAAAAATTAATTCAGGGATGCTTCAGCAATTTATGTTGCAATCTTATAAGAAATGAGTAATAAAAAGTACATTTAAACCTTATAGCCCATATTGGTAACATGTTGCATCAGCTGAGCATGAATGTATATCTATTTAAGATAAAGGCAGCTACATAATTATTTTAGGAAATAATGCTGACTGCAAACCCTTATTAAATCAAACACAAATTATAGGAGTTTTCGGGTCTTAATAAAATATCAAGAATTAATAGCCAATTCAGTGGATAGCATTCAACAACAAGGAAAAGCAATTGCCTTAGAAAGCTCATAAAATACACTTTTTTTTCTTATGCCACTATATCATTATACAACTTTAAATTCAAGATTTTTTATTACACATCGCATTATTAATTTAAACACCGCCGTCATAATATTCCTTGATAAATCAAGTAATGATTTTTAATCAAGACAATAGTGACTGTTTAGACTGATGTCTAACAATAATACAAGAGCATCTTAAGGAGGATTAATAGCACCAATTGTGTTTATGTAAAGTTGCCAGAAAATTTACTTTTTAAAATAATTCTAGGAATCCTCGAATTATTTTATAAACATCATTTCTTTCGAGAATTTATATGAATTCTTTCTGATGATATATCTCTGGCTATCTTCTCAATAAAAAGCAGAAAAATTGAGATAATATAGTTCTAAAATTCTGTTATTCACACTTTGTCAAATTTCTTAAATTTTAGTTTTATATGACTTCCCTTCAAGCATAAGGAAAATTTTTTGAGCGCTTAAACCTCCCATCAATATAGCCCTTTTAATGAATATAATATTTTAACTGGACGTATGCTCATTTTGTTGACATCTGTTTTACATCCCAAATAATATTTTGCTAACTTTATAAATGATAATCAAATTAAATTCAGCAAAAGAAGAAGTTTTAAACTTAAAATACTTCCATAACTTAGGCAATCTACTGACATTAGATATAAAGAAAACATAATGATCTTATCTTAATTAAAACAACTCTAAATAGTTTTTTGATTTTTTAAAATTTTACTTTTCAAATTTAGACAATTTAGAGTATACACAGCCCTTCAATATTTCTCCACGAACATCTAAAATTAAATCTTTACGCTTACACAGTTAAACCAAAGCAAAGGTAAATTTTCAATCAGAACTTAAATAATCCGCTCTCATCCTCTCTCGCTCAAAGAATCATATTAAAAAATATCTATTTCTTCAGCAGTTTGGACTATATCTCAAACGGCTACTGTTCAAGGAGGTTATCGTAAAGTGTCGCAGGTCAAAGGTACCACCCCACAGCTTGTTAGAATAATTTTTACGTACTTAGGACATATAAATATAAGAGATATTATGGGGGGGGAGGGGAGAAAAAACCTCTTCTTCAAAAAATTTAATCAACCACATCAATAGTTAAACTAACCCAGACAGGCATCATTAATAAATTTATTGAAATATTTGGATGATTTTTGGCTGAACTATATAATTTTGAAAGCAGCATTTAAATTATAAACTGTCAACCTAAGAAATTTTCTGTTTAAAAATTAAAAATTTTTCTAATTTTAATCATTTGGAAAATACAAAATCACATTCAATAAAAGTATTACAAATTAATAGATACAAAATACCATGCTTGTGATAATTATCTCTCTAAATATTCAATTGTTTAAAGATTTATTTTATTAATCGAATAAAAACATCTTTAAATTTATTAACAAAACTAAAAATTAATTATTTTTTTTTTTCCAATATATGATAATTCAATTTTTTATGATTTTTTATGC